ACAAACATGTTTCAAGCAGACCACCATAGTCCCTGTGCCCAAGAACACTAAGAACCTGCCTAAATGACTACCGACCCGTAGCACTCACATCTGTAGCCATGAAATGCTTTGAAAGGCTGGTCATGGCTCACGTCAACACCATTATCCCAGAAACCCTATACCCACTCCAATTTGCATACCACCCCAACAGATCCACAGATGGTGCAATCACCATTGCACACCACACTGCCCTTTCCCACCTGGACAAGAGGAACAACTACGTGAGAATGCTATTCATTGACTGCAGCTCAGCGTTCAACACCATAGTGCCCTCAAAGCTCATCACTAAGCTAAGGACCATGGGACTAAACACCTCCCTCTGCAACTGGATCCTGGACTTCCTGATGGGCCGCCCCCAGGTGGTAAGGGTAGGTAACAACACATCTGCCACGCTGATCTTCAACACGGGGGCCCCTCAGGGGTGTGTGCTCAGTCCCCTCCTGTACTCCCTGTTCACCCATGACTGCATGGCCAGGCACGACTCCAACACCATCAAGTTTGCTGAAGACACAACAGTGGTAGGCTTGTGGAAGGCTACCCAAAATGTTTGACCCATGTTAAACAATTTAAAGGCAATGCTACCAAATACTAATTGAGTGTATGTGAACTTCTGACCCACTGGGAATGTGATGAAAGAAATAAAAGCTGAAATAAATCATTCTCTCTACTAATATTCTGACATTTCACATTCTTAAAATAGTGGTGATCCTAACTGACCTAAGACAGGGAATTTGTACTAGGATTAAATGTCAGGAATTGTGAAAAAATGAGTTTAAATGTATTTGGCTAAGGTGTATGTAAACTTCCGACTTCAACTGTATTACCTCGACTAACTGATGCCCCCACACATTGACTCTGTACCGGTACCCCCTGTATACAGCCTCCCTACTGTTATTTTATTTTACTGCTGCACTTTAATTTGTTGCATTTCCTTTTTTTACTTAACACTTTTTATTTTCTTAACTGCATTGTTTATTAAGGGCTTGTAAGTAAATATGTCACTAATGTCTACACCTGTTGTATTCAGCGCATGTGGGAAATAACATTTGATATGGACTATCCCACCCGTGAATACTATGGTTGAATGCTAATTTTGGCCTTGAGAAAACAACTAGACTAAGTTAGCTAGCTAGCTGTTTACAGCTGTTTACAAACACACCGTAAATTCTTTGGGGTTCCAGGGTTCACTTCCGCTCCTCCTCAAAAAGCTCATAAAAAGGTCTATACTCCAGCATTTTGCATTTGATATCAAATGTTTTATGAGGCAACATAATGAGGCCATTTATCAAATGAGGACACACACACACACACACACACACACACACACACACACAGTATAGGGTGGGAGGCAGGGTTGTGCTCAATTCAGAATTTTCGAATTGACTCCCATTCAACTCATGAGTGGAAATTTAAATTGAATTGGCCACACCCCACAGGATGTAGAATTTCAGTCACAAGAAGTAGAATTTAGATTGTTTCGAGAGAAAAAAGTGATACAATCTATAAATACTCTTAACCTTAGTGCTTAGAATAGCCATTTTATACACTGCTCGAAATCAAACTGTCCACTTAGGAAGCAACACTGATTGACAATACATTTCACATGCTGTTGTGCAAATGGTATAGACAACAGGTGGAAATTATAGGCAATTAGCAAGACACCCCCAATAAAGGACTGGTTTTGCAGGTGGTGACCACAGACCACTTCTCAGTTCCTATGCTTCCTGGCTGATGTTTTGGTCACTTTTGAATGCTGGCGGTGCTTTCACTCTAGTGGTAGCATGAGACGGAGTCTACAACCCACACAAGTGGCTCAGGTAGTGCAGCTCATCCAGGATGGCACATCAATGCGAGCTGTGGCAAGAAGGTTTGCTGTGTCTGTCAGCGTAGTGTCCAGAGCATGGAGGCGCTACCAGGAGACAGGCCAGTACATCAGGAGACGTGGAGGAGTCCGTAGGAGGGCAACAACCCAGCAACAGGAACGCTACCTCCGCCTTTGTGCAAGGAGGAGCAGGAGGAGCACTGCCAGAGCCCTGCAAAATGACCTCCAGCAGGCCACAAATGTGCATGTGTCTGCTCAAACGGTCAGAAACAGACTCCATGAGGGGCCGACGTCCACAGGTGGGGGTTGTGCTTACAGCCCAACACCGTGCAGGACGTTTGGCATTTGCCAGAGAACACCAAGATTGGCAAATTCGCCACTGGTGCCCTGTGCTCTTCACAGATGAAAGCAGGTTCACACTGAACACATGTGACAGACGTGACAGAGTCTGGAGACGCCGTGGAGAACGTTCTGCTGCCTGCAACATCCTCCAGCATGACCGGTTTGGCGGTGGGTCAGTCATGGTGTGGGGTGGCATTTCTTTGGGGGGCCGCACAGCCCTCCATGTGCTCGCCAGAGGTAGCCTGACTGCCATTAGGTACCGAGATGAGATCCTCAGACCCCTTGTGAGACCATATGCTGGTGCGGTTGGCCCTGGGTTCCTCCTAATGCAAGACAATGCTAGACCTCATGTGGCTGGAGTGTGTCAGCAGTTCCTGCAAGAGGAAGGCATTGATGCTATGGACTGGCCCGCCCGTTCCCCAGACCTGAATCCAATTGAGCACATCTGGGACATCATGTCTCGCTCCATCCACCAACGCCACGTTGCACCACAGACTGTCCAGGAGTTGGTGGATGCTTTAGTCCAGGTCTGGGAGGAGATTCCTCAGGAGACCATCCGCCACCTCATCAGGAGCATGCCCAGGCATTGTAGGGAGGTCATACAGGCACGTGGAGGCCACACACACACTACTGAGCCTCATTTTGACTTGTTTTAAGGACATTACATCAAAGTTGGATCAGCCTGTAGTGTGGTTTTCCACTTTTAATTTTGAGGGTGACTCCAAATCCAGACCTCCATGGGTTGATACATTTTATTTCCATTGATAATTTTTGTGATTTTGTTGTCAGCACATTCAACTATGTAAAGAAAAAAAGTATTTAATAAGATTATTTCATTAATTCAGATCTAGGATGTGTTATTTTAGTGTTCCCTTTATTTTTTTGAGCAGTGTATTTCCACCAACCATTACATTTGTTTGGCTTCTTTTTTAAGGCGTTAGGGTCAATTTGAGAGTTAAACTAATGCATTCTGGGACATATTATCCCCATATTGAACAAAATGTAGGTCATAATGAAATATAATAACTTACAATCTTTACATACAGGTTTTGTTTTCCTTGATCATTCCAAGAGTTTGTCCTGAAGATCAATTGTTTCATCCAATATTTTATATGCATGTATATAACGATATGTTTGTTTTTGTGTACAATATATATATTGTATAGACTACACCTAATATAGATGAGGCATTTGAATTTAACTTAATTCAATTATTTCCTTTTAATTCAAATTTTAATTGCAATTCTGTATCCTGTTTACTACTTCAATTCTGAATTGAGCACAACCCTGGTGGGAGGAGTTTTTATTTATTTTATTATTTATTTTTATAATCAGTGCTTTCCTACTCCTCTGCCTGTCTGCTGTACTAGTATGTAGGTGGATATCCTGCTCATGGCATTTATATTTTGGTATAGCAGTCCAGTTCTTCAAAATAGCACACTGCCCAAATTCCACTTCTCCCGAGGCTCCAGAAGACAGAGTAGAAGTGACTCTTTCTGGACAGTGAAGGGATGTTTTGATCCTGTCTACTTGCCAAACCATCACAGCAGCAGCCAACACATGACTTCCAGCCCATCCCCAACGAGCTTCTCTGGCTAGTCTTTGAAGTTTTGGTGTATAAAAAATCTGGATGTCCTGGAGGAGCTCATAATGACTCAATATTGAGATAATAATAACTTTATGCGATGTGACATTTTACAACACTGAGTGAGGTTCACTCTGACTGCCTGCACTAGAGGCTCACACAACAGTTTCTGACATTTGAATGATTTGCATGTGCGCCTTTGTGCCTTCCCTTTTGAGTTGAAGCTGAGGGTGGAGGGGATTGAGGGCCCATACTGTTTGGGTTCTATTCATTTTGGTAAAGGTGTATTGGCCCTGGCCCCTACTGTCGATAGAGCTGTGGCTCCTTATTTCTCTATATTGGCCTGCAGGGGGATTGTTGCGCAGTGTGCTGCTCAAGTGTTTTTGCTGATCCTCATTTCACGTTCGTAATTGGTTCCTTTGCTGGGGTAGATTTTCTTATTGCTAACATGATGGTAAACTGCCTCTGTTCAGCCCAGCGATAGAAAATGGTTAAGTCCCTCAACTGCTGAGAGCTAAATATAGAAGCATTAACTTTGGGACATGCCTGCTCATACATAATGCATTACTATGGGAGGTGATGTTGCATTACCTTTTGCCTTTTTATTGTCTGATCATTCTTACAAATGAGGTTAGAATCCTTCCTTGGTTTAACATAGTGCTTTACAACTGGATTAGATGTTCGTTTTGACTATTTAGAGGCCTCACCATTTTATGTCATTTCACTGCCCATTTTACTTATCTACTAATGATTTTGATGGGCAGTTGGTCACCAGTTCATAATATTTTAGACTAAGTGAAGGTTTAGTGAAAACGAATGTACATTTTTGCACCCGTCCCTCATGTCCCCATAGTGTGATCAGTGCCCCCAGAGTTCCAATGACGTTAGTGTTCAGTCCCAAGTGTGCCGATCACAGTGTTGGGAGCTAAGTGAACACATTTATGGAAATCACCAGGGAAAAATTGTCAATATTTAATTTATTGATTACTTGGGTGATGCTGATCCTAACATAATCCGCATCCTTGTTTTCCTCATCTTCTGATTTGGCTCTACTACAACCTGTTAAAGGATTTACTGTAGGTTTGATATTGAAGATAATACTCCTGTTTTTCCATATACGAATGCTCCTGCACACACACCTCTGCACCCTTGATTTGATTTATGTTTATATGATTTAACAATCATGTTTCCCCCTCAGCGTTGGAGAGGAAGATGTCGGTAAGGCAAAGCAGAGAAGAGCTGATCAAGAGAGGCGTGCTGAAGGAGATCTTTGAGAAAGGTGAGATGTTTCCTCATTCACTTCATCCTGTGCCCCTAAAAAAAAAAGGACATGTCAATGTTTGGTTTTGGTCATCTCTCATCGTTTTGTTGAGCCTACAGTGAATGAGATGTGTGACTATTGTGTGTTCTGCTCCATCACTTTCAGAAAGTCATTCATTCATGATCCATTCATTTTGAGCAGATCTATCTTATCCTGTCAAAAGGGTTCATACTCAAAATATAGGAAATCTAGCAGATTGAGACTTCTTATGTGTATATATTTTGTGTGTGAGATATATATTTTTTATCTAAACATGTTTGGATCTGACAGAGGTTATCCCCCGGTCAGTCAGGATATCTCCTTCTGATGAAGGAGAAAGTCCATCAGGGTTTAAGAGATGCTGTGTTTAGTTGAGCTGATGGGTGATGTAATCATTCTGCCTCCCTCTCTGTGGACAACTGGTCTGAACATAAACCAGTTTCCTAAACCATTACTATACTACTGGTACATACTAGTATGCTACAGTCAATATCACATTTTATTTGTGCCGAATACAACAGGTGTAGACTTTACTGTGAAATGCTTACTTACGAGCCCTTTCCCAACAATGCAGAGTTAAAAAGTAAGAATTAGCAAACGAGGCTATATACAAGGAGTACCGAGTCAATGTGCTGGGGGTACGAGGTAGTTGAGGTGATTGAGGTAATCTGTAGGAAGGGGTAAAAGTGACTAGGCAATCAGGTTGGATAGTATACAGTTTTGTGTGGGGTGTGTGTAGGGCTGTGGAGGTCATGAAATTTCGTCAGCCGGTGACTGTCAAGCAAATAACTGTCGGTCTCACGGTAATTGCCCGTTAATTAACAAACACATTTAGCATCTCCTGGCTTCCACACAGCCTACAAGCCACTGATGCAGACCTTTTGGAACATCTACATTTTAAAAAGTCTAATAAATCCATGTAATATAGCCTACACCTTCACAATAAATCTATTATTTATTTATTTATTTATTTATTTATTTTAGTCTAAAGAAGCATGATATGAAGAAAATGTAGTCTATTTCAGAAGACCAGAATAGCATACTCTGAGTTGTCCTTATGTTAGGTCCTGATCTGGCTATGCCAAATGGATGTGGGCTACACTAGTTCATTTAGCAGACAAGATTTGCTTAGAATTCCGTGGCATTATTTTATAGTATGAAGAATACAATTGAACAAAGCTGAATAAAATGGAAAGGATATTTTCTCCAAATGATTTGAGGGAGTGCACACATGCGGCTATTCTGTGTTGAGCTGTTAACAAAGAAATAGGTATTTCTATATGCTTGATTTTCAAGATATGAATGTAACTTTAGTTGTTCTACAGACGTTGGGCTATATGTTTTGATTTTTAATACATTGTAACGCTGCATGATGCGACTTGAATGATGATTTGAAAAAAGTCGCTTCATAGGCATGAGCTCTGCTTAGTTTTTTGCACAGGCTGTACACACATCATTCACAATTTGACAAGCATTTGATAATGCCTAGAATTTCACGGTGGCATCCCCTTTGTGTGGCTGTAATGCACCCTAAAAAAATCCATGCCTTTTGTGGCGAGTGGCCGTTGTGAGCTTCTCCCTGAGTGCTGCGCACTCCATCACGTGATTGGGTCTTTCTCACAGGCTACAAGTGAAGACCGACCCATCGGGGACTCAAATGCGCTTGTCCTTATCCAATTTCTGAGGTGCATATTCAGTGGCGATATTAGCTTGTAAATCTTGGTGGGGCAAAAAAGTGGGATGCATGCCAGCAAAGCCACTAAAAAATACATTAATTGCACTATAACGGTGACAAATGGTGCCCACAAACTGTTAGGGCCTACATAAAGCTGTCCCAACATCTTACCACTGCTACACCTGGCTATCAGCGGAGCCTTGTCTGGCAGCGAAACAGTTCATTCAGCATCATTTACTTCCTTAAAAAAATAACATAGCTGATTTGGCTGACTTGCTTAAACAAATGTGGTTTCTAATAACATTTGAGATGTACAAACTATGACCTAAGGGGACGACAAGCAGATAAGAGGCAATCTAACTTTGTTTAGCACTTTTGAAATGTACAGCGACAGAATTCAGAACATGGGCCGTTCTTAGTGTTCTCCCTGTACATCAAGTCAGATCCGTAGGATAAATAAAGGGGGCATATAAGCAGACAACTCTTTACAAAATGTGATTATTACATTTCTCTAAAACAGGTTATAGGCTACATGTGCACCACCAAGTCAGAACAATAGGCAAAATTAAGAGGGGTAAATAGACCAAATTATTAGGGTGAGGCACATGGGCTAGTATTACTTTCTTAGCTACATTATACATATCTCCATGGCATATTACAACAGTTATGCAGCAACATACAATACATTTTTGGACTCACCTTGTTGTGCTGTGCTCACTTGAATAGGAAGGTGGCGCGGCGGGCAAATTGTGTCATCAAAGTCTGGCATTCTCTGGATTTATGGTGCTTTCAAGATAACTGAGATCTCTGGAAAAAAACAAGGTTGAATCATGATGATGTCATTGATCTTCAGGTCGTAGCTCTAGAAAGAGGCCCGAGTTCCTGACTTAAAATTCAGAGTTGGATGACCGTTCAAAACGTATTTCCCAGTCGGAGCTCGTTTTTTCCTGACTTCACAGTTGTCTTGAACTCACTGAAGTCAAGTTTTCGCAGTTCAGAGTTAACAGTGGTTTTGAGCGCGGCACAAATCATGCTTCATTGACAGCATGGCCAATGTTGAATGTTTGAATAATTTTAAGCTTGGAAAAGAGACCCTTAATCCCAGACTTGGGACCACACAGCCACTCCACTGAATAGCAGGCTAGTGATTGCTTTGCAATGCTTGCAGTTAGCCACTGATTCCTTCCAAACCACTCATTGTTGAATTTGCGATTTCCAACTTGTTGTAATGTTTATGGCCGATGCGCACCGATATGTTTTATCTATAATTTATCTTCATTATTTCTCTTCATATGACAAGGATTAAAAAGGATTTGCCAGTAGATTGTCGACTTGATTCATGATGATGACTGCTAGCTAAGATTTTGAAAGTATGATGTTGACATGATCAGTCCAATCAAAGCTACTGTAGATATAACGTGATTTGACATCATTTTATCTGTGGCCAATGACCTTGAGCCTTCTTGGATGGGCACTTCTAATGTAACTCTATGGCAGCACCCAAGGGGCTTGACTTTTTTAGGTCTACCCTTAGACTTGGTGGTGACGTACTGTCCCCACGAGTGACAGAACACTGAGCTAATTATGGCGCAACTATAGAACAGTACCAACACCTATGCTCCGTATTTTCAGATGGCTGCCCCACCACCACAGAAAGCACTGAGCTAGGCTGAAACACCTGCATTTTGGAGCTGCCTTGCTCAAGAAAGCAAAAAAGATACCATGTTTGTATGCGGCTTTATTAACTCAATGATTTAAAAAATATATACAGTGGGGAGAACAAGTATTTGATACACTGCAGGTTTTCCTACTTACAAAGCATGTAGAGGTCTGTAATTTTTATCATAGGTACACTTCAACTGTGAGAGACGGAATCTAAAACAAAAATCCAGAAAATCACATTGTATGATTTTTAAGTAATAATTTGCATTTTATTGCATGACATAAGTATTTGATACATCAGAAAAGCAGAACTTAATATTTGGTACAGAAACCTTTGTTTGCAATTACAGAGATAATATGTTTCCTGTAGGTCTTGACCAGGTTTGCACACACTGCAGCAGGGATTTTGGCCCACTCCTCCATACAGACCTTCTCCAGATCCTTCAGGTTTCGGGGCTGTCACTGGGCAATACGGACTTTCAGCTCCCTCCAAAGATTTTCTATTGGGTTCAGGTCTGGAGACTGGCTAGGCCACTCCAGGACCTTGAGATGTTTCTTACGGAGCCACTCCTTAGTTGCCCTGGCTGTGTGTTTTGGGTCGTTGTCATGCTGGAAGACCCAGCCACGACCCATCTTCAATGCTCTTACTGAGGGAATGAGGTTGTTGGCCAAGATCTCGTGATACATGGCCCCATCCATCCTCCCCTCAATACGGTGCAGTCGTCCTGTCCCCTTTGCAGAAAAGCATCCCCAAAGAATGATGTTTCCACCTCCATGCTTCACGGTTGGGATGGTGTTCTTGGGGTTGTACTCATCCTTCTTCTTCCTCCAAACACGGCGAGTGGAGTTTAGACCAAAAAGCTCTATTTTTGTCTCATCAGACCACATGACCTTCTCCCATTCCTCCTCTGGATTATCCAGATGGTCATTGGCAAACTTCAGACGGGCCTGGACATGTGCTGGCGTGAGCAGGGGGACCTTGCGTGCGCTGCAGGATTTTAATCCATGACGGCGTAGTGTGTTACTAATGGTTTTCTTTGAGACTGTGGTCCCAGCTCTCTTCAGGTCATTGACCAGGTCCTGCTGTGTAGTTCTGGGCTGATCCTTCACCTTCCTCATGATCATTGATGCCCCACGAGTTGAGATCTTGCATGGAGCCCCAGACCAACCGAGGGTGATTGACCGTCATCTTGAACTTCTTCAATTTTCTAATAATTGCGCCAACAGTTGTTGCCTTCTCACCAAGCTGCTTGCCTATTGTCCTGTAGCCCATCCCAGCCTTGTGCAGGTCTGCAATTTTATCCCTGATGTCCTTGCACAGCTCTCTGGTCTTGGCCATTGTGGAGAGGTTGGAGTCTGTTTGATTGAGTGTGTGGACAGGTGTCTTTTATACAGGTAACGAGTTCAAACAGGTGCAGTTAATACAGGTAATGAGTGGAGAACAGGAGGGCTACTTAAAGAAAAACTAACAGGTCTGTGCGAGCCGGAATTCTTACTAGTTGGTAGGTGATCAAATACTTATGTCATGCAATAAAATGCTAATTAATTACTTTAAAATCATACAATGTGATTTTCTGGATTTCATGCTTTGTAAGTAGGAAAACCTGCAAAATTGGCAGTGTATCAAATACTTGTTCTCCCCACTGTATATTGTTTGCAAACTGGTATGTGACATGTATTAATGCCAAAATAACATGCAAAACGGGTAAGCCCCAAAAAATCAAAAACAAAATGTGGGGCTCACTGTGCATATTGAAGAAATTGGAAGAACTGTCCACATTTTACCTTTCGTCAGCCAACAATATGAGTAGGCCTAACGAACAGCAAAAGCACTAGCGTATGTCAATCTACTATCCCCCATAGTACAAAGGTTGACCTATTCTGTGCGAGGAAATAAATATTCCAAACATATTCTGGGACAGTTGTGGGATGCGATAGATCCTAAATTAATACAACCACTAGCATCCAAAAATATTTTTTAAGCAATGTGGCTGACGCAACCGATGAGAAAGTTTATCAAAATGTAAAGCTAAAACTATCAGACTTTCTTCACATTATAAGCACAGCAATGCGCACATGGTAGTAGGCTATAAGCACAAATGTTCCATTAGCGGAAAACACCATTATCAAAAGTGACTGCAAATGCAATTATGCATGTAATGCTTTTATTATAAAGGTGCATTGTTATGGAGAAAAATGTTCTCATGAAGTGTTTGATTAGATTTTCGAATACATTTTAATTGATGTCAGAGTGATTAGAGGGACAATAGAGTGCTGAGTACCAGGCACTTAGCAAGTTTGGTAGGCTACTAATGAGCATCAGATCTTGGAGAAGCCTAATTACCGTGACTAAACGGTCACGTGGAATTTGACTGCCTTCATGACTCGTGAACACCGGTGTGGCTGTAATACAGTCACCACAACAGCCGTGTGTGTGTGTGTGTGTGTGTGTGTGTTGGAGTGTCAGTGTAGTGTGTGGGTAGAGTCCAGTGAGTGTGCATAGTCACTGCAAGAGTCAGTGCAAAAAAATACAAAAGGGGATAGCCATTTGATTAACAATACATCTGCTTTCACTGGACTAGCTTGTTTATATAGTTCTCCATCTTACCAAACCAGTCTCATCCTGGATAAGTTTGTTTATATCACCATTTAACTCTTTCGGGAAACTCCACTTTCTCTTTTTGTTATGCTGAGAATGATTTGTTCTGATTGTGGGGAAGAGTTGTAAGTAGTTTATATACTCATCGCTGAAGAACCTGAAATTAAGTATGACTTGAGTTATTGAACAGAGTAGTGTGTCATTGAGGGTGAATGGGCCCGACAAAATATTAAAGTGCCTTTGAATAGGGTATGGTAGTAGGTGCCAGGCGCTCCAGTTTGTGTCAAGAACTGCAACGCTGCTGGGTTTTTCACACTCAACAGTTTCCTGTGTGTATCAAGAATGGTCCACCACCCAAAGGACATCCAGCCAACTTGACACAACTGTGGGAAGCATTGGAGTCAACATGGGCCAGCATCCCTGTGGAACATTTTCAACACCTTGTAGAGTCCATGCCCTGACAAATTGAGCTTGTTCTGAGGGCAAAGGATAGGTGCAACTCCAATATAAGGAAGGTGTTCCTAATGTTTAGTATACTCTGTGTGTGTCACTACCATATCATTCATGTTCACTTGAATGATGCAGCACATAATTTGTTGTCTTCACCTTCATAGACAGTTTCATTTCCAGTTGTCTGTACATGTTTATATTTGGTGTTTGTCTTTCTCCAGCAACCGTGGAGTTCCGATCCTCGATGGAGGGCGGAGGCTGCACTCGGGAGCCCTCTAATATGAAGTCGTCCATGGTCCTGCCTTCCAAGAAATCTGTTGGTTTCCCCGGTGATGTTCAGGACAACGCTGCCAAGACACCAATGTACCACAAACAGCCCCCTGCGCTCCCACCCAAACCTTTCAACAGGATCCCCAACCACAGCATCCCCAACTACAGCACAGGTAAGCACACACACACACCAGCAACTACAGCGACCCTGCCACTGATGCCCCTTGTTAGACTAAAACAAAGGCACTGTTAATGTGTCAAACCCTCAACAAGATTTGCTGATCTCCTTTAACAAAGGGAAAGTGGATTGGACGACATCAGTCAGGCTCTTCCTGTAGTTGTCTCCCCTGAGGGTGAGGGTGAGGAAGGACAAACATGGGTGTACGACATTGGGACAAGAATTTTATATACAATGTAATCATGTTTGGCACTGAAACGATTTACTGAACTGGAAAATGGCTTACAGTACAAAGCTCTGAGACAGAGACACAGTGAAAGTTTTAGACAGTTATGTAGTTGAATAATCGTAAACCTATTGTCAGTAGACGCGTGCACGCACACACATTGTGTCTGTGCAGATGGAGAGATTAGCGTCATTAAATCCCAGTGTAGCCAGGTCAGCTGTTGTCTGTGTCTGCCTGTCTGTCTCTGCTGGAGGTGGCAATGGCCTAATCTAATTCTCCCTGCTCAATCAAATCTGGACATTCTACTGTACACTGTCATGTTTATCTACTCTATCCGACTGTCGCCCGTCTTTTACAATATGGCTTGGTGATTGTGCTTAGAGCCCTGGGTTTTCCCTGGGCCAAGACATTTTCCTGGTCAGGACACACTAATCTGCAGTCCTACTTATACTTACCAGTTAAGACATCGTGGAAGAATGGACATGTCAAAGCATATTTAGTTCAGTCAAAGCACTCTGCTACTGCTATTCAGAAAAAAGTTACATTTATGTTTACCTGTTTCTGTTTCTTTCTCTACCCATCTGTCTCTCTGTCCAGACTCTTGCCAGCAGATGAAGCTGGCTTGTATGCAAGGCCAGGGAGGCAAGCTATCTCCTCCTCTACCTCCCAAGAAGGGGATGATCTGTGTGCCTCAAGGGGTAAAGGACAACTCCTGCTCCTCACCCTCACCCTCCCCCCTCAGCACCTTCTCCCAGCAGAAGTGCCCCCCTCCCCAGGGCCACCTCCAAGGCCACCCTCCCCACCATGGCCCTCTGCTGCCCTCGCATCTCACAGCCCTAGCCAACCTCCACCAGGGGCTCCAGGGGGGCGGGAACCACCATAACCACGGACACGGACACGCACACAACCACGGCCATCAGCTCCAGCTGCAGTACGGCTCCATGCAAGGCCACGCCCCCAGCCGCATCATCGAGGAGCTCAACAAGACGCTGGCCTTCAACCTACAGAGGCTGGAGAAGTGAGTTGTTGTATACACAGTATTAAATAAAACCATTATGGATCTCTATGGTTGAATAGTCTTTGTCCAGGAAGTTGCAGGTAGACATTAAGAGTTTAGATGGCGGGTCCTCCCGAGTGGTTCAGTGGTCTAAGGCACTGCATTGCAGTGCTAGAGGCGTCACTACAGACCCGGGTTCGATCCCGGGCTGTATCACTACCGGCCGTGATCGGGAGTCCCATAGGGCTGCACACAATTGGCCCAGCGTCGTCTGGGTTATGGGAGGGTTTGGCCGGGGGGGGGGGGGTGGCTTTACGACTCCTTGTGGCGGGCCGGGCGTGCCTCGGTCGTCAGTTTCCTCCGGCACATTGGTGCGGCTGGCTGGTGTTAAGAAGCGCGGTTTGGCGGGTCATGTTACACAGGACGCATGACTCGAACTTCGCCTCCCAAGCCCGTTGGGGAGTTGCAGCGATGAGAGAAATTGGGGAGAAAAGGGGGGTAATTAAAAAAAAAAGAAAATACAGTTTAGATGGCAAAACTTTATGATGGGAGTGAAGTGTAACATCTGTTCTGTATCATATATTTCTATCTCCAACACTCACCCTAGGTAAATAGTCAAAATTGAAGACTTGTATGCATTGAAGCCGCACTATCTGTTCTGTATAGCAGGTCCAGCTGGTTTGTAGGTCAGGTCACCCCTTGCCTGGTGATATTGGGGTCAGGCTGCCACCATGTGGCTTTGATGTAGAGGTCTGACCCAGCTCGCCTTGTTCCACTGGTACAGGGTGGCCCACTTTGACAGCAGACTGTGTGTATGTGGCACCATGGCACACAGGCCTCCTCCAGAGGCAAGCCTGGCTCAACTGATGCCACAGCCTGTCCTGTCCTCTACCCTGTATTGGTGAATTGGACATGTCATTTCTCTGTAGTTTATGTAACACTTGGTTGCAGATTCATTCTGGTTGCGTTTTTTTGTCCCAATTTTGAGATAAAAAAACACAACCAGAATGAATCTATCAGCTGTTCTCCATTTCCCTTATCTTTCAACTGAATTGAGTTGGTACAGCCAGTATTATCATATCATTTGTATAGACCGGGATCTCTTATTTCTGCAACCAAATGTCAGACCTCTTATTCATTCAGGTAGATTATACATTTACATTTTAGTCGTTTAGCAGACGCTCTTATCCAGAGCGACTTAGTTTTTTTTCTTTTCATACTGGCCCCCCGTGGGAATCGAACCCACAACCCTGGCGTTGCAAACGCCATGCTCTACCAACTGAGCTACATCCCTGCCGGCCATTCCCTCCCCTACCCTGGACGACGCTGGGCCAATTGTGCGCCGCCCCATGGGTCTCCCGGTCGCGGCCAGCTACGACAGAGCCTGGATTCGAACCAGGATCTCTAGTGGCACAGCTAACACTGCGATACAGTGCCTTAGACCACTGCGCCACTATGTATGCATGAGTATGATACCGCCTCACAGCAGCGGGTCCTCTTATGCACGCACACAGCAGGGACTTGTGGTTAGTCACAGCGTGATAGTCAAACATGACTCCCGAGTGGCGCAGTGGTCTAAGGCACTGCATAGCAGTGCTAGCTGTGCCACTAGAGATCCTGGTTCGAGTCCAGGCTCTGTCGCAGCCAGCCGCGACCGGGAGACCCATGGGCGGCGCACAATTGGTCCAGCGTCATCCAAGGTAGGGGAGGGTTTGGCCGGCAGGGATGTGGGTTTTTTTCCCACGGGGGGCCAGTATGAAAAAAATGAAATAAATAAATACATTTTAAAAAATTACAAAAATGTATGCATTCACTAACTGTAATGACTAAAATGTAAATAGCTGTGTGGTATGTATATTAAACCCCCCTATCTACATCTGACTGCAATATGGAACCAGCCCCTCATCAACCCAGTTGATTGACCACTTTGTTTCATTGAACCTGAATGGTCTGTGATGTGAAGGATATGGACAACTATCTCATGCTGTGATCACCAACCGCGATCTTCAAGGCATTCCTAGTCTATCACCAAACATTTCTGTAGAAAAGCCAACGATAAAGCCTTGCGTATTTTTTTGTACTGTTTGCGGCAGGTGCACTTCATTCAGAAGCTCAGCGTGCCGGGTAGGCAAAGTGTTCCAATTTTGAACCAAAACATTTGTCTGAAGGGACTCTGCCTACCTGGCGGACCAGGAGAGCTAAATCAAGTGCGCCTACTGTGCTGGCCAATCGGATAGCTCAAATCACTGTGCCTACAGCTTCCACAACCCCACAGCAAAGTTTGCCTATGTGAGATTTCATAACTTTTAAAACTATGACCAGAGAGAGGCTGTCAAACAATACAGCAAAGAGCTGCTGTTTTTGAGTGAGTTCATGTTAAACACTTTTACAAAACATAAAATGCGCTTCTCCCTACTTCCACTCGCGCTACAACCAGCACTGCATCTGCAATGAATGAGTAGTCAATAAACCTGCGATAGACCTACATTTGTATTATTATTATTATTATTATTACTATTATTAGCTCATCATGTCTATTTTAACATTGAGGAATATTTCACTTTCTCTGATCATAGGAACAACATGAATTTGCGCATGAGGCAGAAATAATGTGGTGTGACTTGAGTTTCACCATCAGGTGGAAGACCGTGTCCCCTCTCTCTGGTCAGTCTCACCGGAGGAAATAAGAGTGCAGGGACCCTCTGCTGCTCTCTCCCTCAGCTGAGACTGACCATCAGATGCTGGTACCATCAGTTCAGTAAAATAAAAAAACTTTTATTTCAATTTATGCTCAGCTGTGCCTCACAAGTGATACTACAACGTATCTATTTTCTTATCAAAGCTTGAGTTTTGATATATAATAGTGTGATCTGAGAAGAACAATATTGGCAGGCTAAGCATAGCCAATATGCTGTGATAATGTATTAGGCCTACTGCACAAATCTCATTCCTACATAACTTTTTTTATTAGGCAATGTTGCATAGGCTTACATTTTTTTGGGTCATGTTTTGAAACAATTCTGAGCGCTAGATCTCGATTTGCTTTTTGACTCCGAAAGTGATTTTGACGCCGATCAGTGGTCACCAACCTTTTCTAATGGTATGTAGGCTAATGTGGCGGTCATAGACTGAACTCCCTGCTAGGAACCTATGGCTCGGATAACCAGATATGTGTGTCTGTCTCACTAACTCAATGGCTGCAAGTCAAGGTGGACAATTTGGTGCTAATGACCATGATACAGGAATGGCACAGCCTCGACCTCGCACATCGAGTGCGTCAAGGCAATTCCAGCCAGACTGCCATTTTCTAAGATGACTACACAGAAGATGGGGAATGAGTCAACCACTTGTAGAGACATGGTCATAGTGGCTCTCTACAGCACATTGTTGCATTTCTATAGCAATCATTAGATTCACACTGGGAAAGTGAAAAGTGGTAGATAGGAGAGATTACTATGAAGATTCTATCCTATCCATCATTACCACTAACACTTACCCCCTGGCCTCTCTTCTCCCTGCAGCAATGCAATGCGTTCTGGTCAGTGTAGTCTGCTGGACAGAAGCCAGGTGCCCTCTGAGGTCATCGACGAGGACGACAAAGAGAACATGCCCAACGAGTCCGACTATGAGGACCTGCCCAGCATGTACAAAAACGAGGATGATGAAGATGATGATGACTCTCTCTTTACAAGTAAGATCACCATGGTGGACACACACACACACACACGGTAGGATAATGTTGTGTTTTAACTGTCTGTGTGTAGGTTCCCTGGCTCTGGTCATTTATTTTATTAATGCTTGGTGTCTGTGTCTAGGTACCCTAGGTCTGAAAGTGTTGAGGAAGGATTCTCTGGCCGTCAAGCTGAGTAACCGTCCATCTAAGAGCGAGCTGGAGGAGAAGAACATCCTGCCTGTGCAGACTGACGAGGAGAGGCTGGAGTCCAGGCAGCAGATAGGCACCAAGCTCACACGGTGAGAGAGAGGGCACGCGCCACATACACCCTGCCCATGCAGAACTCTTATAACAAAGGAGGATTGCAAGGTGGACCAGGATCTTTTCAGTAGAGCAATTATTAGAGTCACAGATGGATAGTGACTAGAACAGACTCCATTGTATTTTCATAAATAGAGCGACGTGTCCATTTTATGTTAAATATCTTCAACATCCTTAATGTAGCACTAGACCAAGCATGCCTCTTCTGCAATGCCAACAGCTCTCTGATGTGTTTTGAAAGGCGTGTCCATTTCTCCTCTATAACAGAGCTTTCAGGAAACTGTTGTCAACAGCCAAATCTTGCACTGTGGCCCACTTTGGGAAAATGGTCTGATATCCCCGCTAACATAACTAGCTATGACTAATCTCACTCCCATCTGGCTTTTTGAAAGCGCAATGGAAGCCTCCTTTTTATCAAAACACTTTTCCATCAGTTTAGTTGTATTATTTTCTTTCCATCCGTTTAAAGATGAACCCTCCACCTCGTTAAGAGGGGCGCTGAGAACTGAGCTGACCTAATTTCAGCAATGCATCATCTCTCTACGTTCTCTCCCTCCCTCTTTTCTTCCCACTGCCTGCCGTCCTCCCTCGCTCACTGAATCACCACAGTGATATATGCCAAGGATTACCACACCACTCCTCCACACTCTCGCTATACTGACGGATCTCTCTCATTCACTCACTCACTCACTCACTCACTCACTCACTCACTCACTCACTCACTCACTCACTAGCCCATACCAACAGCTCTCACACATGCAGCACCACCACACACATTGAGGTAAGGGAACAGACACCTTTAGAAGCCCATATGAAGTGATCACACACTCCTACAAACACAGCAGTAACACTTTTAATGGTTTCAGATTCCATTTCAATATGGCAATATACAGATGGGTTCTTTTTAATCCAAGGAGAACATGACCTAGTCATGCTTCTTTATCAATTAATCTATGGTTTGAAGGAATCTACCATCACTGAACAGGATGCTGTTTGGACAGAACAGACCTGGCCAGTAGGGAGACAATGAGATGGTAGTGAAGGAAGCGGTGGACGGAGGGAGTAGAAGAGGGAAGATAACGGATGTGTGGAGAAGAGACTGGGTGTTAAAGAGAAAAAGAGGGCGTACTCTGCAACTATTCCATGCTGTGATTGGCACATGGTGTGTTGTTCCCAGAAGGCATTATGTTGTTCCCAAAACGCTCCATGTCTCACTGTCCTTTACGCAGTGCCATTGTATGCGTCTCAAATGGCACCCTAGTCCCTATATTTTGCACTACTTTTGACCAGGGCCCATAGGGCTCTGGTCATAAGCAGTGCACTATATAAGGAATAGGGTGCCATTTGGGACACACTAGCAGCGTCATGACTCCCAATTTCATGCTATTTGCCATGTGCATTGTGCTCCTCTGTTGCAGCTCTCTGGCACGCCAATACAAATGGATGGTTGTAATCCTGAAGGAGGTCATTATGACAACCATCTCTTCTCCTTATTCTGATGAAGACTTAATAGACTGTATAATAGATCTTCATATTGGTCATTTCATCAAACGTATTGTGTAATTCCTTATGTAATGTCATTATGAATATGGCAATGGCCTCTTGTATAACAACGATGCTTTATGATGGTTTGGGATGAGCGCAGAGGTCCGTCAGACTGTCTGAGGTTGGGTTGAGGTCAGCGCCAGCGTGTGTCTGTGTAGATCTGCAGAACGCTGAGCTGACGTTGCGAGCAGAATGCTGAGAAGCGGAGACGTCTAGCAGACTCACTGTCTTGTTTCTCCGGGACGCGTGCAGCCGAGCGAGACACTGAGATGAGACAACACAAGACGAACCAATCAGTCTCTCTGTAACTTGAGTAACTCTGGGTCCTGGACATTGTAGCAGCAGACACCCGTCATGTAGGCTCAGGCAGAAACCTCTTGAGGTGCTCTAGCCATCATCCATAATGTCCCCACACAGTCCGAATAGCTACTACTGTGTTCAGAGCTTATTCCAAACAAACCAAATTAAAAGCATTTTCACCGACCTTGTTAGAATGTCATACTGTATTCAGCCAGTCATGTCAGGCACTTGATGTCAAAGAGATTTGATACAAGATTTCTCTCTCTCGACCTTGCACGCATAATAAAAGGGAAGAGGGTAAAGGCATAAATTAGGAATGGAATCTTTTCAAAGTGTTGACTCTTTTCAACTGCTTGCTTTCTACATTTACATTTTTACATTTTAGTCATTTAGCAGACGCTCTTATCCAGAGCGACTTACAGTTAGTGAATACATATTTTTTTTTTATACTGGCCCCCCGTGGGAATCGAACCCACAACCCTGGCGTTGCAAATGCCATGCTCTATCAACTGAGCTACATCCCTGCCGGCCATTCCCTCCCCTACCCTGGACGACACTGGGCCAATTGTGCGCCGCCCATGAGTCTCCCGGTCGCGGCCGGCTGCGACAGAGCCTGGATTCGAACCAGGATCTCTAGTGGCACAGTTAGCACTGCGATGCAGTGCCTTAGACCACTGCGCCACTCAGGAGTTTCTCAAACAGTTTCATTCTCCCTCCCTATTTTCTTTATTTCTCCCTACATCTCTCTGTCTCTCTCTCTCTGTCTGTCTCTGTCTGTCTCTCTTGCGTTTCCCTCTTGCTCCACTCCTCCGTGGTGCAGAAGTCGCTGGATCAACTAGGAAAAGAGATGTAATCACATGAAAAATGTCAATCTCAATGTGACTTCCCTAGACAAAGTAACTAGGAGGGGGAGAATAGAGATGGGCATGGTTGACTGAACTGTATAGTGTGGTGCTGTATGCTATTGTTACAGCATATAATTTTGTGTGAATAACACCATTTACGAAATCTGGTTTATCTGGTCTGGAAGTAAATGTAAGAACTCAATGAAGAAAATTAGGGTGATGTGCACATCCTGACCTTGACAATACTGGTGCTGGTAAAAAAAAAAAGAAGGTTTTACTGAGATAAAGGCATGAGCCCTGTACACAGAATATTGCGGCTCACTGCCTTGAATCCAGTCAGTTTCTATTCATGTCTGTCAGAGAATAGATATAGTGACTGAGATGCCATCCGTCCTGACCTGCCAACTCAGCCATAGCTGTCACCCTGGTGCTGGCTGGCACTCAAGCTGTCACTCAACTGTCACTTAGATAACACTGGCTGGATGGAGTCCTGTAAAGGAGAAGTGACCGCAGGGGAGTGACTGAGTAGGAAGAGAAACTGAACTTTTTGTCATGTGATTTGTCCTGAGATGACACGCACAGAACCGGAAAGTGAGCCGCTTAGTTTAAAGGGACTGAGAAATATCCATGTTTGCATGTGTTTCTGTAGACTCAAAGTATCAAGTTGTAAAAAAATATAAAAAAATAGTGTGGGTCTTTTTTTATTTATTTAATTTTTTCGTGCTAGCGTTAGCTAGCACTAGCCGGCTGTACCTGTGCCAAAACTCTTGTATTTTTCATCCTATAGCTTGTTCTCCATCTTTTTAAATAGTGAGCCAACATCTTTTCAGCACTTATTCCATGACTGATCAAAACTCGTTTCCTCATGCGCTCTCGTCTCTCTGCAGCAGACATATAGTGAGCAATATGTTTGGAACATCGAATCGCAATGAGATCACAGTATCAAATCGCAATACATACAGAATCTTGCGCATCGCAATACATATTGTATCGGCACCTAAGTATTGTAAAGCCTCTGGCAATTCCCAGCCCTACTATCAATGTAGGTTGAGTTGCCCATGTTTGGTCCTGTTGTCGTCGTCTATGGAGATTAGGCTAGTTGACAAAGTTTGCTTTTGTTGCTCAGGGGGTTTATCATGTTTTGGTTTTTGTACTATCCATCTGAAGTTGAGTTTGACTATTTACTGTTCGGTTGACTTGACCGTGTGTTTGTGCAGGCAGTTGAGTCAGAGGCCCAGTGCTGAGGAACTGGAACAGAGGAATATCCTGAAACGTGAGTACTGTATGTACCTCTACTTCCTGAACCTACCATTATAACACATCATCATTATATAGACAGGACAGTAGCAATTTACTGATAATAATCACCTCACTATTAAACCACTCTAATGTTCTCCCTTTTACAACTATTCCCAGTGACTTGACTTACCCTAATGTACCATATTAGTCCACATTTAATAAGTATTTTATGCTAGCCGCCTCGAACCACAGTTGCCCTGGTTATTTCAGAGGCCTACTTATCCAAGAGCCAGTGGCATACATCTTGCCTTTCTTCTCTCTCCTTCATTTGAGGACGGCAAGGCGGTGTGGTTCCCTCAGGATGCTGGCTAGGGCCAGGGAGGCTGGTTTCTCAGCTCAAACACACTCCGTATCAGAGAGACGCAGGCAGGCGCTAGCAGCTTGGGCTCCTCTGCTTTCATCATAGACCAGTTTACCACCAGTGCCTTGGTCTCCCAGAGGTTGCTCTGTGATTGGCAGTGTGTGTAAGGAGAGGAAAAGCGGGGTGTAAGACTCCAGGAATGGCAGTCTCCCCCACAACATAGCCTAGGTTAAATAAATGGGGCATGTCTTTATTTACATTTACATTTTAGCAGACACTTTTATTCAGAGGGACTTACAGGAGAAATTAAGTTTAAGTGCCTTGCTCAAGGGCACATTGACAGATTTTTCACATAGTTTGCTCTGGGATTCAAACCAGCAAGCTTTCGGTTAATGGCTCAACGCTCTTAACCACTAGGCTACCTGCAGCCCATTTATCAAATGGAACATTCTGTTTGGACTGGCACTCCAAACCAAGAGTACAGTGGTATAGTTATGCATTTAACGCAGAACTCTGTGGTGCGTTTTGGATTAGCAAGTATAGAATGTTTTCAGTCCTCTGCCTCCTTTTGATTTTAACTCCTTCCCTCTAAAGCTAGAGGGTGCTTTCTGATAATTAGTTTGGAGAGCATCCATGGAAAAGGATAAGAGTAATCTCTAGTGAGATGGAAGTATTTCTCTTTTCTGAGCAAAACTGGATATGACTGGGTCTGAATATTCCCATTTGTTCCCTAGAAGCAAGAAATGTGTTTTATTTTAATGTAACTTAAACCAGCCAACCAACCCCATGTTAAGGAATGTTGAACTAGCCATGTGGGAATGGGGGATAGAGAAACAGAATTTCCCTTCCTCCGTTTCTGCAATGCAAATAGTCCTACATTACAAACAGGCAACGATGATGAAGATGATGAAGATGATAAACCATTGAAGGCTTTGAGAAATTCAGCGATGTAGAATATTAAGAAGTGTGTTTGTGTGCTGCATTTTAATTATGTAAATTAGGTGTTATTCTCCTTCCAGTAGTGTTAAAACGTTTCCTAAGCAGCACAGCCCACTCATCATGTGTGCCCTGAAACACGGTCTAACCTCTGACCCCTTGTGTTTTCTCACAGCGCTCAACGAACAGGAGGAGTTGGAGGAGAAGAGGGAAATAAAACGACGATTAACGCGAAAGGTAAGGCAGGAGAGGGGCTTCCAAAAAGTAGGAGCTGTGGAACTTCCAATTCCATCCTGACTACAAAAATAGCTTTAGAAAAATGCTGCATAACCCCCATGGGCAAACAGTGTGCCAACTGCCAAGGCTCACAGTTGTTCTTTAAGGTGTTGGACAGGACAGACACAGCAAAACAAACAGCAAAACAATGACTCACTCTGCGTGAGAGGAGAGCAAGGTGTGAAATCAGTGGTAGTCACAGCACTACATCTCCCAGATCACCCCAGGGGACGGTAGTGTCCTCAGTGCCCTTGGCACTGGCATTTGTGAGCAAACCATAACGATCCCCTCATACAACTAGTCTTACATTCTCTTAGTAAACAATAAGCCCTTTATCACGCCCATATGCAGTAATGTAGTGTTGCTTGGGACTGTACTATTTATAAAAGTCAAACCAAAATCACTAGTTTATTTTTAATGTTTATTGTATTGATGTTGGTTTATTTTCTGCCCAGGGACTATAGATGAAAATGTGCTATCTAGCTAAATCTGGTGCAATGGCATGTAACAAATAAACAAATGAATAAGTTGGATCAATAATTTGCAGTGTAATTGAATGGCTTCAGAAACCAAGCTGTATAGATGTTTAGGTTGCCTCCAGTGGATTAGCCTTCAGGCCTGATAAGTCTCCTCCTGGGTAAAGGTTGATATAGTGGTCTTTGCTTTGTACAGTCTGTACTCACCCCAACATGCTAATCTATCATGTGGAGTACAGTATAGCTGCTTCATATAGCAGTTGGAGGGACCTTCAGCATACTAGCTTTCAGGCCTGATAAACTTCCTGTGTAACGGTTGATAATGCTGTATTTTCCAGTGTAAAGATAATGTTACGGCCTTTGCTCTGTCAATACCATACGTGGATTATTTATATGTCTATGGTCCATACTCATCACAACACTATGTTCCTCTCTCTTGTTCCAGCTGAGCCAGAGGCCTACGGTGGAGGAGCTGAGACAGGCTAAGATCCTGATCCGCTTCAGTGACTACGTAGAGGTGTCCGACGCCCCGGAACACGACCGACGGGCAGACAAACCCTGGACCCGCCTCACGGCAGCCGACAAGGCAAGTAGTGGTGGGGATGGGTGGGTAAAAGGAGCTACATGTAGCATTTTAGTGATCATTTCTATTTCCTTGTGGAAATGCTACATGTATCACCTTTGAGCCATATTTATTTAGTACTTTGTCAAGCGGTGTCATTTAGCATCAAATTGCCTTTATGAGGTTGTGTATACTGGTATGAGGTATGGTATTAGCTTCTTTGAAGTCGGTTTATGCTGCAGAGAAAATCCTATTGTACATAGACACAGCCCTGGGGAGTACATGAGCGACTTGACCCTCACAATGCGGATCTACCCATAATCTATTCCTTCATATCTATTATCATTTAAGATTTTCCCCTGCCCAAATCAAAGGTCGAAAGCCTATCGGTCTGTAGTGTTGTACTTCCCCTGTGCTGTTATAGCAGTAACAACAACAACATTGGCAGCCGTGGTAGCAGCCCCTCTCTGAAGACTGCCCTGGATCAATCGATCTCCACCGTTCAGTTCAGAGCTCAGAAGCATAATGCGGGAGTTTAATGCCAGGACATTTCCTCTCCTCTCCTCACAGCACTTCCAGGCTGCTGTTTAGATGTTTCCCCCCCCCTTTGTTTACCGCTCCGAGAGTAAACACCCCCGAGCGATCCTCCCGGCCGTCGGAACGTGGTTCTGACTTTTAATGAACTGTGTATTTCTTAGAAGAGCGAGCCGCTCTCCATTCTCTCCTTTCTGTCATCCTTGTGATGTTGGAGGCAGCGGTGGGATCCGAGCATACGGGGTCAACACCTGAGGACCGTTCAGGTGCAAAAACATGGCAACTAGTTAACTCTGCCTTCTGTTACACAACGTTCCTCATTACGTAAAATAATAATGAGGGGACAGTCTGGGTAGCCATTTGATTAAATGTTCAGGAGTCTTATGGCTTGGGGGTAGAAGCTGATTAGAAGCCTCTTCGACCTAGACTTGGTGCTCCAGTACCGCTTGCCGTGCGGTAGCAGAGAGAACAGTATATGACTAGGGTGGCTGGAGTCTTTGACAATTTTTAGGGCCTTCCTCTGACACCTCCTGGTATAGAGGTCCTGGATGACAGGAAGCTTGGCCCCAGTGATGTACTGGGCCGTACGCACTACCCTCTGTAGTGCCTTGCAGTCGGAGGCAGAGCAGTTGCCATACCAGGCAGTGATGCAACCAGTCAGGATGCTCTCGATGGTGCAGCTGTAGAACCTTTTGAGGATCTGAGGACCCATGCCAAATCTTTTCAGTCTCCTTAGCGAATAGGTTTTGTCGTGCCCTCTTCACGACCTTTCGTGGTGTGCTTTGACCATGTTAGTTTGTTGGTGATGTGGACACCAAGGAACATGAAGCTCTCAACCTGCTCCACTACAGCCCCGTCGATGAGAATGGGGGCGTGCTCGGTCCTCTTATTTTTCCTGTAGTGCACAATCATCTCCTTTTGTCTTGATCACGTTGAGGGAGAAGTTGTTGTCCTGGCACCACACGGCCAGGTCTCTGACCTCCTCCCTATAGGCTGTCTCGTCGTTGTCGGTGATCAGGCCTATCAATGTTGTGTCATCAGAAAACTTAATGATGGTGTTGGAGTCGTGCCTGGCCTTGCAGTCATGAGTGAACAGGGAGTACAGGAGGGGACTGAGCACGCACCCCTGAGTGGCCCCCGTGTTGAAGATCAGCATGGCGGATGTGTTGTTACCTACCCTTACCACCTGGGGGCGGCCCGTCAGGAAGTCCAGGATCCAGTTGCAGAGGGAGGTGTTAGCCTAGTGATGAGCTTTGAGGGCAATATTGTGTTGAACGCTGAGCTGTAGTCAATGAATAGCATTCTCACATAGGTGTTTATTTTTGTCCAGGTGTGAAAGGGCAGTGTGGAGCGCAATAGAGATTGCATCATCTGTGGATCTGTTGGGGCGGTATGCAAATTGGAGTGGGTCTAGGGTTTCTGGGATAATGGTGTTGTGAGCCATGACCAGCCTTTCAAAGAACTTCATGGCTACAGAAGTGAGTGCAACGGGTCGGTAGTCATTTAGGCAGGTTACCTTAGTGTTCTTGGGCACAGGGACTATGGTGGTCTGCTTGAAACATGTTGGTATTACAGACTCAGACAGGGAGAGGTTGAAAATGTCAGTGAAGACACTTGCCAGTTGGTCAGCGCGTGCTCGGAGTACATGTCCTGGTAATCCGTCTGGCCCTGCGGCCTTGTGAATGTTGACCTGTTTAAAGATCTTGCTCACATCGGCTATGGAGAACGTGATCACAGTCGTCCAGAACAGCTGATGCTCTCATGCATGTTTCAGTGTTACTTGCCGAGCATAGAAGTAATTTAGCTTGTCTGGTAGGCTTGTGTCACTGGGCAGCTCGCAACTGTGCTTCCCTTTGTAGTCTGTAATAGTTTTCAAGCCCTGCCTCATCCGACGAGCGTCGGAGCCGGTGTAGTACGATTCAATCTTAGTCCTGTATCGATGCTTTGCCTGTTTGATGGATCGTCGGAGGGCATAGCAGGATTTCTTACAAGCTTCCGGGTTAGAGTCCCGCTCCTTGAAAGCGGCAGCTCTACCTTTTAGCTCAGTGCGGATGTTGCCTGTAATCCATGGCTTCTGGTTGGGGTATGTACGTACAGTCACTGTGGGGACGACGTCATCAATGCACTTATTGATGAAGCCAGTGACTGATGTGGTGTACTCCTCAATGCCATCGGAAGAATCCCGGAACATATTCCAGTCTGTGCTAGCAAAACAGTCATGTAGCTTAGCATCTGCTTCATCTGACCACTTTTTTTTTATTGTCACTGGTGCTTCCTGCTTTAATTAGACTTGTCTGTGACGTCACCGGCCTGTGTCAGAACTAAAGACTTGACTGAGCCACCACATATTGTTCCTGGAAGAAGTTTGAGTCATCTTCGGGGTTGTGATCATTTTAAGGATGCATTACATCTAATCAGATGTGCTTGTACCCGATTTTGTTCTAAGAAACCACACAATACAACCACCACAAAAGGTTGCTTCCGGTGCTGTTATCCCAAATGGTGCAAAGAAGGGGAATGTACTAGAGGATTCTTTTCATTATTTTGTACAGGCTAAAATGTCATGTTTTTCTAAGCACACAACCCTTGTGAATGTTGCGATACTGATCAACATGGTGCACAAACTAAGGTGCTACCTTGAGTACAAGGCAGCAGGGTGGAGATTATTGAAGGTTCTTTATTGTTGCTCCCTCAAACCAGCGGGAGGGAGAGGATGGAAAAGATGGCGACCAAGGGAGAAGTGTGTTTTTAATGGAGAGAATTCAGTTTATTCACTCTTGACCTGAAGAGGAGAGTACATGATGCATGAAGCATCTAAAAGGAGTCTGAGCAAGACCTGAGTGACTTTCTATTTGTCTGGGCACTAACCCTTTGTTCCCCTCGCAACCTGTTTGTCCTTCACAGGCAGCCATACGGAAGGAACTCAATGATTTCAAGAGCCATGAGATGGAAGTGCACGAGTCAAGTCGCCATTTAACCAGGTAAAGACGTGCATTAGCATGTTTAATGGTATGTATTTGTATGCATGAACACATCCCCGACTGTCATGGTGAAAAGCAATGGCTTTACAAACCTTTAAATACTTGATATGAACAGTGCATTCAGAAAGTATTCAGACCCCTTGACTTTTTCCACATTTTGTTACGTTACAGCCTTATTCTAAGATGGATTAAATCATTTCCCCCCCTTATCAATCTACACACAATACCCCATAATGACAAAGCATAAACTGGTTTTTAGAATTTTTTGCAAATTTATAAAATAAAACATACCAAGTATTCAGACCCTTTGCTATGAGACTCGAAGTTGAGCTCAGGTGCATCCTGTTTCCATTGATCATCCTTGAGATGTTTCTACAACTTGATTGGAATCCACCTGTGGTAAATTCAATTGATTGGACATGATTTGGAAAGGCACACACCTGTCTATATAAGGTCCCACAGTTGACAGTGCATGTCAGAGCAAAAACCAAGCCATGAGGTTGAAAGAATTGTCCGTAGAGCTCTGAGACAGGATTGTGTCGAGGCACAGATCTGGGGAAGAGTACCAGAAAATGTCTGCAGCATTGAAGGTCCCCAAGAACAGTGGCCTCCATCATTCTTAAATGGAAGAAGTTTGGAACCACCAAGACTCTTCCTAGGCCCCGTGTAGCTCAGTTGGTAGAGCATGGCGCTTGCAACGCCAGGGTTGTGGGTTCTATTCCCACGGGGAGCCAGTATGAAAAAAAAAAAAAATATATATATATATATATATATGTGTGTGTGTGTGTGTGTGTGTGTATATGTGTAATATATATATATATATGTATGCACTCACTAACTGTAAGTCGCTCTGGATAAGCGCGTCTGCTAAATGACTAAAATGTAGATCTGGCTGCCCGGCCACCAATCAGGCCTTTATGGTAGTGGCCAGACGGAAGCCACTCCTCAGTAAAAGGCACATGACAGCCCGCTTGGAGTTTGCCAAAAGGCACCTAAAGACTCTCAGTCCATGAAAAACAAGATTCTCTAGTCAGATGAAACCAAGATTGAGCATCACATCTGGAGGACACCTGGCATCATCCCTACGGTGAAGCGTGGTGGCAGCATCATGCTGTAGGGATGTTTTTCAGCGGCGGGGACCGGGAGACTAGTCAGGATCAAGGGAAAGATGAACAGAGCAAAGTACAGAGAGATCCTTGATGAAAACCTGCTCAGGACCTCAGACTGGGGGGAAGGTTCACCTTCCAACAGGACAACGACCCTAAGCACACAGCCAAGAAAATGCAGGAGTGGCTTCGGGACAAGTCTCTGAATGTCCCCGAGTGGGCCAGCCAGAGCCCGGAATTGAACCTGATCGAACATCTCTGGAGAGACCTGAAAATAACTGTGCAGCGACGCTCCCCATCCAACCTGACAGAGCTTGAGAGGATCTGCAGAGAAGAATTGGAGGAACTCTCCAAATACAGGTGTGCCAAGCTTGTAGCATCATACCCAAGAAGACTCAAGGCTGTTATCGCTGCCATAGGTGCTTCAACAAAGTACTGAGTAAAGGGTCTGAATACTTATGTAAATGTGTTATTTCCGTTTTTTATTTTTTATACATTTGCAAAAATGTCTAAAAATATGTTTTTGTTTGTCATTATTGTGTGTAGATTTGAGAGGAAAAAACTATTTCATCCATTTTAGAATAAGGCTGTAACGTAACAACATTTGGGATAAATCAAGGGGTCTGAATGCTTTCCGAATGTACTGTATGTATACGGCATACCTTTTCCAGTAACCTATAATAAGGGAATTGCAATATGTGACCTTTGGAATTCGTACAAATGACAGTATTTTCTGCTCTTTTCTCCCTCAGGTTTCACAGACCGTAGACCATCACTGTCTATAGGAACGCAAGACAGACTGGCTGTTTTCCTTCACTGAGAACCATAAGTGCTGGACAGTAAATGGTGCCCGTTTCTACAATAAGGTCATGTCTTCTTCTGATCTGAAATGCCTTGTCAATACCCTGCTACTCAGTCGGTCGGTACCTTCCCCTCCAGAGACAAACAGTAGTTGGACACCTGATTTAGTAGCCCCCCCAACTCCCACCTCAATTTTCTCAGCCCTTTCTCTATGTAACTGACTAGTTCGTCCCACACCCTAGTGCTGAGCTCTCAGGAAGGCGCTCAGTGCTTTGGGGATGATGATGATGGGCTGGTTGGGATTGGACACCTGCCATTTCTACTCCATGGACTGGCTGTCATGGTTACCAGGTACCTATGCCCCACCCTTGTCACGGTCTCATCATTGGATGTGATTGGCTTGTCACTATTGGTGGAAGGAGCCTCCACATCCTCACTCTTAATCAGAAAGGACATTTTTACCCATGGACATTGGGAGAGATGGACATCAACCACTTGGAGAATGTTATCCTTGGTCTGTTAAGATTAACCTAGTGCTGTGTGTGGATTCATCTACAAGTGTTTGAGTGGTTAAATAGAAAAATAAGTGAGGGATCCAGTCCATACAACACTCCAGAATTATGTGCAATATTTTCCCTCTGCCCTCTCCTTAGGTCATAGTGCCCTCTGGGGTTCACCCTGTCATTACCATGTACTCCCACCTCTACTTCTCCCCATGGTGGTCAGTTCAGTTCCCACTGTACCGACAATGTTGATATCTATTGCTAACTGTGAATTTGAGAGTGCAGACAGTGTTTTGTTTACACTCTCTCCAAATATACATTGTGTTTATACAGAGATATGAAGTAACATTTTAAATAGAATCATGCTTCAATACTGTCCATTTCATGTTGGGATCCTGAAAGGATGAAAGGGTAACCTTAATGAAAAATGTAGCTGGCAGATAATGCACTGACTGTATGTGTTAAGGTTGAACAGCTTTTTATATAATTTTTTTTTTTTTTAAGTGCCACTTTTTTATTTTAAACTGTGGGTTACGTGGCTTTAGGGGTGTCACAGGTCTCTGATGTTTGAATATAGACTCCTTCAGAGAAGAGCTATAATACGTCCCAAATCGCATCCTATTTCCTATATAGTACACTACTTTTGACCAGAGACATATGGGCCCTGTTCAAAAGTAGTGCACTGAATAGGGAATAGGGTGCCATTTAGGATGTAACGTGTGGCTCACCATCCAGGGATACTTTGTTTTTTATTGTTGAGAATGACGCTTTTCTCGTTTTGCAGTCTTATGTTTAATGAACTCTGCTGATGTGACTGCACTGCACTCTGTGTTTTTGTTTTCTTCTGTATTTTCTGTATATTTAAGAACGAGCAATAGTCTTTCTGCCTCTTGGCAAACTGTATGAAAACTTTTTTACTTTGCTTGTAAATGGTCCTCTCCATCATTTCATTTTTTTGTTGATATTTTAGGAAAGGCCCCAATGGGAATATCGGAATTGGATTTCTATTGGCCACTGTCTGAGTTGTTTTTAAATGGTACGCATTACTCTTATAGTTGCAATATGAAAAAGTTTGCTTGTCATAAGACGTAGATTAGATATGGTGAAGGGCCTGATTGGCCACCTACTGTATTCATGTACCTGCATAGGAAGATGCACCAACAAAAAGACATGCTCTGTCATTTTTTACGTCTTTGTAGTTGAGGCCCCAATGAAATTTACGAAAACATTCTGGAACATAGAAGGTATTGCACATATGTTTGGTTATCAGGTAAACATGGGTCATTATATAAAATGTTAGTTTGGAGCATTTATTCTCCACATATTGCTTACTTTATTACACAGGTTATTCTCTTTCCCAATGTCCCAGTTTGATTTTCCTAATTTAATTGGAGCACCTTAAATCAGTAGAGCCTTCAAGAGATGATGGGGCCATGTTTTCTGCTCGAACCAGTTTCCTTTTTGATTCCAGCATCATGCCACACACGTCATCATGTTTGCCTCAAACCGTTTTGGGCATAGTGGAGAATCCTAAAGCTTTGATCAACACCTTGAGGAGGCTGCTCTCTGTTTGTCTATTGAAAAACCACTTAACCGCATAGCATGAGGATGGCGTCATGTTGGAATCGACGAATATGAATTCAGCCATAAACTGTTTTCTGTGACATGTACTTGGTGACAATTAATTAATTTGAAAGTGATATTTGCCATTTATTTTGGAAATATGGATTCCTTTCCATTTACAATGTGAATGACTGCCATGTCTCTCTCTATTAAACGTCATTATGTATTTTGCATTCTGTTCACTATCATTTATAAGACATGTTTTCTCAAACCATGGCAATATTGCCATCAGCTATTGGGTCTTTATGGCTGCCCAGGAATTGTAGCTAATGTGATTTAGAGTAAAATACTGCCTTACTACTTTGGCTTTCCTTTTATCTCAAAGCGTGTGTGTGTGTGTGTGTGTGTGTGTGTGTGTCAGTTATGCTTTTTTATCTTTATGTTGACCACAACCTCATCAGTCTATCATTGAAGAGGTTATCCCACAGAGCTCCTATTAATCACTATGGGTTTCAGGGAAGCTCTCTCTCATCCCAAGTAGTCTGATGGATGTACCACTTGTTGGTGTTTTGGGGTTTCATAGATCCAATAACTTTCAAGCTCTTCAAAATATTTTCATCCAACTAAAAGGTCAATTTTGACAATTTATTACATTTGTAAAGCACTTTTCATTATACAGAATAAGCTCAAAGTGCATCCCAGATGTAATTATATAACAATCATATGGTTATAATGGCCCAGGCCACGACATTGGCAGTGCTGTCTTTTTTAATACTTTCACGACATGCAAGTGTTCACTAACTTGTTTAAACATCTCAGAAATAAGTCTTAAGTGTACTTCAAGGTCCCTTGTTGCCAGCTTTACACCAGTACAGTAATGTATAGTAAAATCTATGTACAGAAAGACAGGATTCTCCAATGGCCTACCCTCTGTCAAATATTTACTTTGTACAGGTAGACCATGCATGTAACGGGTAGACTGATTTGTTTATGTCCAAAAAATCTTATTAAAAGGATTTTTTCCAGCAATCATGCTTCACTGGTGTCAATTTATTTCAGTGATTCAGTCAAACTCCATTTGTACCCAATTCCAGGATTCAAACTGTTGGAGGAGAGACATCCAAGCAGAAATGACCAGAGCGCAGCACTGCTGTGACCTGGAAGAACTTGCCCGATCAGAGAACGATGGAAGACATTTGTCAACGGCCTATGCTCCTTATAGGGGCCAAGGGTTTAAATCAATTAAGTTTAACTGTTATTTTTTTATTAGCCTATTTGTTACACTGTAGCCTACTAACACAGTGGGGATAGGTTATGGATTAGCATTAGGGACAGTGTCGAGTGTACTTAATGAGAAATTCAATGACCTCAATATTATAAGCGTTTTAGTACTGGGATGGAGCAAAAACCTGCACCCTTCAGATGATGGCGGTGGATTATTGTCACTAATCTGAGCTGGAACTCCACTAGGTGGTGGAAGAGGACAATAGAATATCACTGAGTACAGAAAGTCGGCCAGTCGGCGTGGCCTTATGAAATGGCGTCCTGATGAGATGGTGCTCAACTCAAGTTATTTCACCCTCGTCGTTAATGATCGAGTAGACTCGAACGTTATTTTCCCATGCTATTTAATGCAAGCACGCACATATCATAAAATACATTGGCTTAAAACTGCTGATAAATAAGTGGGGTATTTAATATTAGTGCTGTGGGGAAAAACATGTTCTGTCTCCCATTTTGATTTAGAATGGTTTTATGCTTGATGCGCCTGACAAGTTTATTTCCCAGGTTAAGTATCTTGCCATCGTAGTCAGAAGGTTGAATCCGACTCATCAAAACAACGCAACAAGCGGGATATTCCTCAGACTGGGCAGTGCGTAAAAGATGTGGGCGGTGCGTAAAGGTATTTGCATATAGAAATGTATCCATGTGCATAGACTGATAAGGCTCTCTACCAAATAACAGGGACTTGTATTTCTGTGTGTTACATATCTATTTACACCATTCTGAAACTTGCCCCTTCTGTCTGCTGTGTGGATGCCCCTTTTTTTTGGGAAATGTAGTTTTTACTTCAGTATTTCAACATGAAAGATTGTAGATGTCCTTAAATTGAAATACATTTCCCACAAGGCAATACAATATTGTTCCCACATCTTGTGTCACCTCATTAATATTTATTGTACAGTATTTGCGTAAGAGGTCGGCCAACGTTTATTTCATATTCTACCATAGTATTGTGGTGTAAGTGAGACACACGGTAACGTCTCCCTCACTTCAAGTCCGACCTGTTTTTAGCGGATTTCCTCTTAAATGTTTTCGGGAACGCAGGGGAGATTCCAACTGGAGCACGAAGGCAAAGAAGTGAATGAATAGTGGGATAAGTACACGACCCAACCCGCGGACATTTATTGTATTGTGTTCATATTGTCGCGCTTTTTTAATGTAGAAGGCTGATGTTAAGCCACGTACGCACGGATATATAGTGTACTTTCCATTTGGCAAAATGGAAAGTGCGCGGACTGTCGTTGACAAAGGCTTGGAAGATGGAAGTGCAACTAAGTTTAAGAAGCCTAGCGGACTGTCTGTCGCCCAGGGGACGCCAGTGGATGATGGCGGTGGACATTTGACGGCCTCTCGTATAGATATTAGAAATGGGAACAACCCCTCTCAGGCTGCAGTGGGTTCTAGTGCTTCGAATAAAAGTAACGGAAGCACATCTACGAATGGCCGTAGTTTATCCAGTAACTCCAACTCGCTCCTGTTGAGACGGAGGAGGCTGAAGAGGAACCTCTCCGCTGCAGCTGCAACCACTGCCACATCGATTGTCACTGCCGCCTGCGGCGCCAAGATGAAATCGACCCTCTCTTCTGCGTCTCTGCATACTCGGAGTCTGGATAGGAAGACGTTGCTGAGGCATCGGCAGAACATGCAACTGCAGCCTTCAGATAGAGAGTGGGTGCGAGTGGATCTTCACAGGGGTTCCATACATGTCCACGACAAACTCACCTCGCCTTCATATCCTAGGCCGGTGCTGTGCACGATTGATACCACCGCTGGCGAGATGGCGCTCCGTTTGAGCAAACTCAGTAAGTCGAGCTCTGTATTGCGTATATTTTGTAATGACAACCTAAAGACTGATCAAAACAGAAACTGTAACGTGAAGTATCCATATAATGACAGCCAGTGCAAACTAATTGAAGACGGTAACGTTAATATGAAGTGCAAAGATTCGGGATCCCCAGAATTCAGGGGCGGCCTATCGGACAAGCCAAGTGACGGGTTGAGGCTACTGCTTATGGAGAACGCCGATGAGCGGCAAAAGCAACAGGATGCAAAACTTTTTAGTCCGGACTCAGAGTCGAAAGATAATATAACTCACTCGTTGTCGGATCTAAATTCGAATTCTAACCTGGATACTCCTAACGAGGATGACCCAGAACAGAGACTGAACGGAGTGGACAGCTACGGGCTCAATTCTGGTTCGGACGTGGAGAGCAGCAGCGCATTCGATGACCTCAGCATTTCGGGGGCTCGGCTCAGTGAGCACCGGGACTCCCTCAGCGACGACATGATCCTGGGCACAGACGCATCCAT